TGGAAGAAGGTGTTTTACATAACAATCTAATACATAAAGACACACACAATCTCTCCTTCTATTGCTGGACTCACTGTCAATTTGCGGTGTTGAAACAGATTCAGGTCTTTGATGTATCATTGTTGTCAGTGCTAACCAAATCACTGCTGTGCATGAAACGAACCCCCTCAGGTCTCCAGAAGAGACAGCAGACTTTTCTTTCACTGATTTTCTTTTTTTTTTTTTTTTCCAAGACAGATATCCACAGAGGTTTTAAGAGCGAAAAGAGGAAAACATGACTGTATGGTTAACAGGGCTTTTGTGTTCCTTAGCTCCACTTTTATTTTCCTATTTACGAACAAAAGGAATTTCATTCTTGTCATTTTTTTTTCCCAGTTATACTTTTTTTTTGACAGAGTCCTTTTGTTGCTACAAGGATGTGTTTGAAATGTATCTTACAGAATTGAAAGTGTGAGCTTCTTTTTTTTTTCATCTAAGTGGATTCCTTTACCTTGTTCTGTTTGTGCTTTTACATCCAACAATAGGACTGACAAATGGAGATACCTCAAAAGCCTTCTCAAATTGACATGAGCGATTTTCTACCTCATTTTGCCACAACAAACCCACTATGATACCAGGGCATTGTCACTACTCGCTTTTATAGTGGCAGAGCCAGTTTTGTGATCCTTGTAGACATTTTGCTTTTATCTGAGCCCTTCTAACCCTGTTTCTGCTCTGTGTTTTTTTTGTTTCTATCTCCGTGTCAACCTCTTGCTCTTATCCGCATGCACAATTCAGGGCAAGAGCAGTGATAGTTGCCAGTGAGTGTATGAGTGTATTAAATTGTATGGTAATCGCAGTGAGAAAAGGGCACACGGTGCAGTTATGTTTCTAATGAGACACAGAGAAGCGGCCTGACCTCTCCAGCTGGTGCGCTGCAGACATTCATCATCCCAAACACATGGTGGATGAAGGGGTGAGGGGGGAGAGAGAGAGAGAGAGCACTGCCCTCTATTGAGAGTAACACCACACTGCGGGTCAGCAAGAGAAATAAATTAAAGATGAAGAAGGGATGATGAGAAGAATATTAGGGGGAAAAACCCACCTTGTAGAACCAACACAAAGAGGAACAGGCTGGAGAAGCGGGGGTGTCGTTTTGTGTTCAGCACTGAAGCTCTGACTGCTTGCAGCTACATTGTAAAGCAAAACTGTCTGTTACCGATAATTGATTTGGATGTAATTATACACCATAAAGCGTAAATCACATAATCACTACAGTCACTACCGCTGAGCCCAGGATGCTGCCAGGCAGTAGAGGATACTGTGGCTTTGTAGCACTCCAAATTTTTGTCTCTGAAAGAAACTGAAAAGAAAAAGAGGTAATGGATGGGCTTGAATAAGCTCCAACAAATGACTGATACTCTGTCCGCAGACAGAAGTAAGGATTTTCAACAAATCTGTTAATACAGCTAACCAAATAGAACTAAAATCTACAGCATGGCGTTATGTGGGATGTTTGCGCTCATCAGTTCCTCTCTTTTGCATTTGATGTTTTTACTTTAAAAGGGAAATCAAAGGGCAAAAAATGGTCAAGAAATTGCTTAAGTGTGCCCTTCATGAAAGCATGTTTTTTTTTATTCATATAGTATCAACACAACTCTTTTATTCTAATGTAATATTTGGCAAATTGTTTGATTTTATTATTTTTTATTAATCCCTCATTTTAGTTTTTAGAGTTTTTCCAGTGGCACAGATCCAACCTCAAAAATGCTGATTGAACTGTGTAGAATTTCAACACAGAGAGTAATATAAGTGGAAAGATGTGATAGAGATGGGGTAATTAATTCAAGGAGAATGTATTTCCTTCTCCCCATCTTTTGTACAAAGTGGGGTACATTGGCCTTACTTTACACTGAATACATTACAAAATTTAATGACAATATTTTCCAACTGTTCTCAAATCCTATTCCGTGGAAAACCAAAACAGATGAGTGTTAGTTCATCTTTCCAACTTGCCACAACTTGCAAAGGAGCAGCACTGAGATCAAATGTGTGAGTTAATAACTAGATCGCATAAATTTGAGTTCTTTTCTACACTACTTTTAATGGAAAAACTGGGTATTTCTGATGAGCTGTGGATTGTTTCAGAACCCTGTTACATTTTATTATTTATGCACACTTGGTTTAAACGTTTCATTTTATCAGTTCTTTACTTAACATTAGAATTTGTTTGCCATACAGACTTTGAACCAATATATTAATAAGGACATAGCTAGTATGCACGTCTTTCCTAAATAACTTAAGGATTTAAAAGGCCTTCCTGCATTTAACAGGGATTCTTTCTGCCTGGCTTACCAAAACATGTGAAAGTGATGGATATATTTAACATGATGTTGCCACAAAAAGAATGCTATCAGACTCCAACATGATTTAGTTAGTTGGGTGTCTTTTTGCCTTGCTTGGGCCATTTACCCAGCTCTGTCAGGTACAAAAATTGGTTTGTGATTGTTGCATCTTGCACAGAAACTTCTACAAATATCCATTTTTCTGCCATCTGCATCCTGATTATTTATTTCAAAAAGCAAAACGCTTTTATTCTGTATTCAGACAAAACAGCCCAGCATGGCAGGCATTGTGCACGATCCATCTTTTGTGTCTAACCCTGTCCCATGTTATTGCTATTAATACATTTCAGGGCCACCTGTTGTAGGATCTTTGCCATCAAAGCTGCTCTCTAGCTAGGTTGAACACTACTGAGAGAGTGGGGATAGTATGCTAATAGCAAATCTTACCTACGTTTGCTTTCAAATTTACCAGCATTTCCCATGATCTTGTGCATCACAACGACACTTCATAAATTGTATACTGCTTTCAAACAGACCAAATTGCAGCTATCCACTGATCCGTAGAGTGGAGCCTATTCAAGCTGATACTGGACAAAAGAAGGGTTACACAATAGACAGGTCGCCAATCTATGACAAGATTAACAAAGCATTCAGATCTTATCCGTTCTTCTTCAGTTGATATATATTTTTATTGTGCAATTTCAAAACAACTTTATACGAGTTTGGAAGCCTGTAAACTTCTGTAAAGGCGAGTAGAAAACAACCCATATGGAAAAGAAATACTAAAAACTTATGATTTACTCATGAAAGTGGCCACTTTCTCATTACTTTCATATATTGTTTTAGTAAGTACTTTCATATATTGTTTTAGTAAGTATCCAAAACATACAAGTTTCATTATATAATTTTTCAAGGGATCTTATATCTGTTTTCACTCTTGTATGCTTTTCATACAAGTTTCACACAAGACAGATACAAACTTTATAAGATTTATATATATCTTTTCCATATGGGAATAGGGAGGGGACGGCAGACAGTAAAAGGCCTGAGGGCAGATTCGAACCCAGGTCTCTGCAGTAGCCTTACAGCATATGGATTAACCTGGTGAACCATACTGGCACCAAAGTGTGGCACATTTTTGATACATTTTTCTCTTTGAATTTCAAAACCTGTATTTAAATGGGTGTACAAAATAGAGCAATGCAGCAAAAAAGTATTTGTCTTATTTGTTTGTTTTTTGTTTTTTTTAAAAATTGGGGATAAAAGAAAGGAAGGCAGATCCTTTGTGTAAAAATCTCATGACTTTTAACTTTGTGAATGTTAGTACAGTACAAAGAACAACCCCTACCTTTGGCACAATGCTACTCACCCGTGAAATTCTGCTTTGTTCAAACGGAACTGCACCTTAATATTTCTCATTGTGGGGTCAGATTCACAGCAGTGCTCCTCTGTGATCATCCCGAGCCAAACCTTCTCAATGGTTATTTGAAAGCATGTTTTTGTATAATTCAGAATATTACCCACTGAAACTGAGAGGCTTTTCTGCCTGACCTAGAATTGCTATTTAAGCAGTTTTCATCCACACTGATTTTCAAAACTGTCCTCCCTTGCATTTCTTTCTTTTTATTTTTTTTAAACCGGAGTGGATCCTTAAATCTGCACTTTGAAATGGGGCTAGCATCTGAACTGTGAACATAAGGGAGAGTTGGGGGATATTTAACTGCAGACTTGGCCAAAATATGTTCAAGAAAAACCTTGGATCTTATCCCTCAAATCCTCCTGAACCTCAGTTTGGACTCTATCCAGCCTTGTATTGATTGCGACACAGAAAAAGCAAACCTACTTTTTAGGCTAGAGATATAATTAGGATAGTACTCATTATAAACAGATGCAAAGCTAACAACATCTTGAATTTTCATGCCTATTATCTTCTTTTTTTTTAAATTATAGGAAGCATCTGAGTTGTTTTTAGCTTTTGTTGTCGCTGTGATTTAAAGTAGCAGACTCTCACAACCTCAGCACTTACCTCTGTGAGTCACTTCCAGACTTCCAATCTGGTAAACTGTATTATTCAAGACAGTGCGTGCTCTGTATATCAGTCTCAGGTTGTTCAGAAAATGGTGCGGCATTGATTTTTAGCTGCGACAAAGAGAGGTGAAAGGCAGCAGCTTGATCAAGGCAAGCATTCAGCAAATCAAATAAGTTTGATGGGTGTTCTTTGACATTCATTGTTTTTCTGCTTTGTTTGCATCTCCATCGGATGCTGGAAAATTATTTGCATGGCCCTGGCAGTCTGCAAGACAGACTTCATATTGCAACGATTTATTTATTTATTTTTTGCACACATCGTGGTTCATGGAATTTTAATGGTTTAATGGTACCATCAAAGTGTTTGTGCTACATAACTTTTTAAATAGGTGATTAAAATGTAAAGTGTAATTCTTCTTTTTTGATAGTTTTCCCTGAATGGGCTGACCGATGTTTTATTTCCCCTCCTGTTAATCCTTCCATCATTCCTGTGTGTTCACATTATTTCAAGTTCTTGTGTTTGCTTCTTTTTTCCTTGCTTTACCTTATTTTCCCTGCTACCTTCTTATCCCTTTTGACTCCAACCTTTTATTTAACCTTTTATCAAAATCCACTCCTGACATACAAATTTTTATCCTCTCTCTGCAGAATGGAGGCAGTGGGCTACCAGCGAGTGCTACAAGTAGACTTGGAGGTAAATGGGCTGATGGTAACTCAGGGGAGCAGGGAGGTGGCATGGCAGGTCGAGTATCCGCTCACGCGCACCCTGACCAGTGAAGTGCAGACTCTCATCCGTCTGGCACCGCAGGACCTGGGTGGCATCGTGCCACTGGCCATGGTGAGGAGTGACTGGTTGGAAATTGGAAGCATGTGTGCGTAAGGGAATATGTGTCTAAGTTCAGTGTTAGGCTAACTTAAAATAACCCATCAACACTACATGCATTTGTTTTTTGAGTGTGTTATCACAGATAGTTAGAGCCACAGTAAGTTTGCAAAGTTGTTACTTCCAATGTTATAAACTGTTTTACTACTTTGTGTCTGATACTTTACCCCAAACCAGTCGTCAGCAACCTTCAACATCAAAAGAGCGATTTGAGTTGCTCCTACCAAGCAACGGGAGAAAAAAACCAGCATACCCGGGTCATTTGGGGTTGACAGGGGACAGATGAAACTGACTGATGAAATTAGGAAAGGATAAATAATGCATATATTATATGTATAAGGGTTGTGGCATCCTGGTGATGCTTTTTATACTAGTCGTCTGTGTATTCAACTTCCAGTGCAGAAGTCTACATGAGACTAAAATGCCTCAAAAAAAGCACATCAACAGATTCGGTCAGACCAACTTTAGCTCTTGGACACTGACATACTGAGAAGAAAACAAAAGATTTATCGAGACACATAAGATAAACAGAATCTGGGGCAGACCTTACCTGGTAGAAACAGAACGCACTTTGGCATGTGAAGAGCTCAAACAAGGGTAGCAGGTGATATATAATCCTACACAATGGTGGAAACTTGAGCTAAATGTGACCCATGCAGCAGGACAGTTGTCTTAAGCAGATGAGACCGCATTTTTTTAAAAATGCATCAATGAAGTGCTTGTTGAAACAAGGTGACCTATATCCAACAAAGCCTGTTTTGCAATTGCAGAAGACAAGACTAAAACATGATTAAGAAGGATGATCAAGAAGGTCTTGAGTTAGAATCCAGGGTGGGGTACTCCTAGGTTTACTGCTGAATCTAAATTGTGAGTGTGAAAGGTTACCTGTCTCAGTGTGTTAGTCCTGTGACAGACTGGTGGAGTGCCTGTGAAATCAGGGATAGGTTCCCCCTACTTCTACCCCACAGCCTTAAATTGGTTAAGTGGTAGTCTGAAAGCAAAAGCAAGAGATTATATTAGATGTCTAGTAGCTTTTGAACTTATTTCCACCCAAAAAGTAATATTATATTAATAACATAACTCTCTATAATGTAGTGGTTTATGCAGTCAACTATCAAGATCACCAGTTTCATCCCGAAAGGAGAAACAGTCCCTTTGGGGTTGTATCAGGAAGGGCATCTGGTGTAAAACTCTGCCAAATCAATGCGGAGCTACCCGCTGTGGCAACCCCTTGTGAATGGGAGCAGGGAGCAGCTCAAAGTAGCTATTAATAAGATAAACTTTCAACTTGGCGGCCATTGCATTGAGGCTGGTGTTAATTCAGGCAGGCTAGAATATCAGCTGTTGGCTCAGCTGATTCCTTTCTACAAATCTAACTGGCAAATCTCATATAGCCAGTGCTTTTTTAGTTTATAGTTACTGCTGCCCTTTTACAAGCCGCTTTCCACTGACGTCTCCTCTGTTCTGCACAGGAGTGTTGCTCTTCTGGTTTTCCATATGACAGAACAGAACCATGTCAACAAATTAAACTAATTTTGAGTTTGACATCATAAAACCCAACACAATGGAAAATGTCTCGGCATCTTAATAATGCTGAGATGTGGATGCACTGGAAAGTTAAAGAGCAAAAAGAGAGCTGTAATGAAGAAAACCCTCACAAACGCCATTAGATTTGTGAGATCAACTTAAAGCTAAACATAGTACAAGATGAACACCCACATTCAATCATGTCTTGTAACAAGATAGTTTTGGCAGTTACTTGGCAACTGTTTCTTTTACTTGTTTACTATGACATTCAAGGTCCAGTGAAAATACTTAAAAAAAAAAAACATGTTTCTTTTTAAAGAGTTTACAGCTCTCCCACGCTAAAAACATTTTTATAATGTATAAATGATAAAAGGGATAAAAGCAGCATGTCCTGTTCAGTGAACAACAAGGTATTGTCTAATTAGGAGCCACTCTGTATTTCATTTATTTTCATTTCCCATTTTTAGTCTTAAAGTCTACAAGTTTCTTAGCAAGGCCATTGTGCATTTTTTGATTCTGACTTTAAATAAAAGTATTTAGCCTCTTTATAAAGAATAATAATTTGCCATATGAAAGTATGGCAAAGCAATCATCATTTATTAGTCCTGAAGAAAAAACCCAGACCCAATTATTATTTTTAAAACAAAGCTTGGACTAACTTCTAATCGTCATGAAGCTTTTAAACGCCGGTCTCAATTTGCAGAATGAGAAGTTAAATTGAGTTGGATTTTAACAATCCAAATGTGGATGAATTGGCAAGTGGCTTATGATTGCTAACTGTATTATCATAATGACACTGTAAACATAATGAATTGTTCTTAATTGTTTTTGAGGAAAATCGTTCTGTGTGCTGAAGAGAGAATAGGGCAGTTTTAATTTTTGTCATTGATTATGTCCATGTACAAATCAAATGCTTTCAAGCACTTCATAAAGTTTTATCATACTCATTTTGTGAGGCAGCGGTGCACTGCTGATTTATGGTTTGTGGCGAGTAGAGTAGCTTTAAGGCTTTGGCTACATTTCTCCACTTTTAGTGGCTTAATAAAAGAGAATGCACACTCCAATTATATTGTATTAAATAATAGTAATACTAAAAAGTTTAATGGACAACTAATTGAAAGAGATATGGAAAAAATGCAAAGATGTATTGTAATAAAGATTTCAGAAAGTACTGACAGCGTGCAAACTTTGATTTAAGAAGAAAATGTGTCTTATTAAAGATTCAACAATTTGTCAATAGGTCTAATTAGTTAGCTGTTATTAAATTAATAGTAGTAGTAGTAATAAACATTTTCTGTTCAAGTCTTATTTAAACATTATTTAAATGCCAATTAGTGTTAAAGTAAGCATGGGGTGGCACAGGGGCAACAGCAGGAATCTCGGGAATGCAGGCGACGGAAACGGGAAGGAAAAAATGATCTGTTAAAAAAAAATAATAGATATATACAGAGGGCTGGCTGGGAAATGGGACAAAGGCATGCTCAGGTGAGGAATATAATCAAGAAAGTGAGGAGAAGAAACAAAGGCAGGAAGACACAGGAAAATAACCTTCAAAGTAAAACAGGAAGTTACTCTAAGACAGATAACACATTGGCAAAAAAAAAGATAGAAACTGGTTAACAGAGAAGGTGAGAGGAAATGGGAAACTGAAGGAGTAAAGCAAAACCAATATGTGTGACAAAAAACAGAAAAAAAAAAATTAACCCCTGTAATCCCCCCCCCCCCCACACACACACACACACACAAAATAAAAATAAATAAATAAATGAAGTAAAATAAAATACAAAAAAATACAAAATAAAAAATAATAATAAAATTCTTCTTAGTTTCTGTTTTACATATGACAGCTAAGAAGCCTAAATACACCAAGGCTGAAGACCTAAAATGAACTAAGAGCCCACGCAACAGGAAAATGAATTTTTATTTAGAACTTTTGGATAACGTAAAAGTGCACTGCAATAATGAAGGTAAATCTTAGAACAACAGTACTTTGCTATCTTTACTAGTGCTGTAAGTTAGTTAAAAATTTTGATTGTGTTTGTGGCCACACCGACACAGTGTTCACACACTACCTGCACCACTGACAAGTTGGCCCACTTTACAAAAAGTCTGAAGGATCAACTACGTTACAAGGGCGCATAATGGTACTTCAACAGAGTGATCTAAAAACAGCAGCCCCATTTAAAATATTTAGGCAATATAAGAGAAGATCATGTGAATTACTCTTAGCCAGTTCTCAAAACGTTTTGCTCACTCCTCATATGTAGGACACTGTCTTGGTGCAGTCTTTGAGACGTTAGTTGTCTCTCTGACTTCTGAAAACAAATTCTGCTCTCTAAAGGGCACCCATGCTTTGACAGCACATATTGCTTGTTAAGTGCCAGCTAATAAATTAAAGGTAGACGAGTCATTGTCTGAGCAAACTGCGCCTTAGATGGCCATGTCCAGGGTATACCCCGCCTCTTGGAACAATAACAGCTGGGATAGGCTCCAGCCTCCTCCAAAACACCGAACCCGATAGGATGTGTAAAAAATAGATGCACGGATGGATGGATGGATATATGACATCAGCCATCACCTTTGCGGCAGTATGTGTAGGTAGACACCAATCATTCCTGGCACTTAGCAGTACTTGTCTGGGTACAGAATGCCAGACACCCCTGTTCAAGAGAACTCTCATCTCTCCGTGAGTGCTTCTGGCCTTAACTCCCACAGAGAAGCACACGCATGCTCACACTCACCCAGTACCTCCTGGCTGCCAAACATGAAGTGCAGAACTTGTTTTATTTTTTCTTCCTTTTTTTTTTTGTTGTTCTTACAAGGGTTTTTTTGAACAGCTGAAAAATGCCTAGAATTGCTTTTTAAATTTGTCATGTGCATGCACAAAAAGGTCAAGAAGAAACAAGTACGAACGAGTGGATAAGAAGGCGCATGTTTAAACAGAAGATGGGTGAGATCAGTTTACGCATACCCTGACATTTTTAATTTTCTTTCATTTTTACTGAAGATATGTTTCTGTGAATTCTACAGGTATAAGCTTTCTGCAGTCAGTGTTTAAGAGAGCGAGAGAGATCAGTATTGGATATTCATCCCGCAGCAATGGTCAAAGCTCATAATTTCAGAGGAGATGCATTTTCCAGGAAAATTGAACAGAGCAATTTGTAGTTCAACCGATGACTCGCAATTTTGTGCCTTTTATGGCCGAACAGGATATTATAGAATGCTAGATGAATACTGAAGACAATGAGGATCTTGTGTGAGTGCGCTAAGCAATTTAGCATTCAAAGCGTGTTTTTTTTGTTTTTTGTTTTTTGTTTTTTTCTGGAAATGAAAGGAGAATTCTGACGTGAAGATGAAATAATAGACTTGTAGATATATGTAATCTATTGCTACCGTTAAGAAAGACAAAATCATAGAGAGATTGCATT